CCCCCCCCCCCCCTTTCTTTTACTTCCTTCTTTGATATTGACATGATTGCCCTTAGCTCTTATTTCCCAAATTAATACGATTTACACCAGGAAAACTAAACGAGCAGGTAAATCCTTGAGGATACCACATATGCGTGGGCTGAATTATCGGAAATGTTCACCTCATTGAAAGTAACTGGTCCTTGACGTTTCCCCTCCTTGTCAGTGTAGTACCATTCAGCTGTACCATCGTTTTTTGTTGCCACGTCGGCCTCAATCACATTTGTTTGAACCTAAATTACCACAAGTAAAAGAAATATCTTCATAATTTACAAAATAACTGGGCAACATACCGGTGCGAAGATGCGTTTTTTGTACAGTTCCCGTTTTTGTCGCTAACGGCATTATTTTTTTCGGCAGATACTTCTAGCTAAAAGAATTGAGACTGGCAGCCGCAACTGTGAGAAAACACCCCCTTAAAATATCAGCTTCCTAGCTTTTCTGATTCACGAGTTAAAAATTTGCCTGAAAAAAATTTCCGCAGGTCCGTCTGGCGGATGAATTTGAAATCATTTTGAACAAAGAATATCCCTCAAAATTTCTGCTTTCCAGCCTTTCAAGTTCCCGAGTTAGCAAACTACACGCCAAAAATTTCCACCAGCCCGGATGTGAGAATTACGTGGACATGGACGATCATTTCGGGGATAGGGGTCCGCACATAGGTGCAGACTAAGTTGCCAAAGTTTCAGCTTTGTAGCTTCTCCGGGTCTCGAGATGAAAAATCAGTACAGACGCACATGCAAGACACACATACACACAAATAACCCCTCGAGAGCATGCATTTTTGCATTGTATAGACGCTAAAAACGCGTAGAAAACTCTTTTAATGTCTCGGTTCGGGCGGCACTGGATAGTGTTAATCAGTTTAACAAAGCAACAACCTGAAAAAATACTACTAAAATTATTCTAAACAAAACCTGGTTGTGTATTTTTGCACGATTTACGTGAAGATGAGCCAGTACTGCAGTATCAACCAGCAAAGGTAAAATACCGGCACAGAGCAATTCGCGCACATTATCCTTATTTTGCACCAACTTACTGATGAGAAATATCTAAACATAAAGAAGGAAAATGTTTTCAGTTAGATGTAACCAATTCAGAGTAATGTTTGGAAAAATAAATCTTTGTAATCACTAGAAAAAAATCATTGTAACTGAAAAAATAAATCACTGTAATCATTGGAAAAGATTATTTTAATAAAGCATCTCTATTTGTTTTTGTGCAAGGGGCTGCTGGACAGATAATTTTAAAAGGAGACAAAAGAGATGCCATGATCGCCAGCGAGCTGATAACTCGCGATTCAGCAATGATTAATGCAAGTGAAATTTTGCCAAATGCACGGCTGAAGAAATACAATTCCCACAAACAGCACAACTACTATTTTTATACGAATTCGGTCGCTCCGTTTTTTCTACGGTTTGTACCACTGTTCTTGGTATTCGTTTTTTTCTTCAGTTTTCAAAAACAAAAAAAAACAGTAAATGTTCGAGGAATTGGGCTCAAAAAAAACATTTTACCAGGTGATCGCGCTCTGCTGGATTTGTGCATTTGGAAAGCATATTGACAATATATTTTGAATCAATAAATGAACCAATTGTGATATGATGCCGTGCATATGTTACAGCCATTGCTTTCAGACACAGACAACGCATTTCGCTTTTTGCCGAAAGTAAAAAACGATGATAGACGCTATTAAAGAAATCACCTCTGCAAAAAAAAACGAAAGTATTAAAAAGAAAAAATTTTTGTCAAAAATTAAAAGTTATGAAAAACCATAATAAGCGGTCCTAAAAAATTGGAAAATATGGCGCTAAAAATCCTAAAAAAATTAAAGTGTTCTTAAAAAATTAAAAAAATATCGGAAAT